ACTTAAGTAACTTGCTCAAAATTGCATAGCTTGTAAAAGCTAAGTCAGGATTGGAATTCAGGTAGCCCAGCTGCAAAGCGTATGTGCTTAACCACTAAATGATGGTTTCCTCTGTCCCCAGCATAAGCCCAAAGGTCTTCAATTAATTTAGGGTACCATGTGGTGTCCAAAAATGAAAAGAATAACTCATCACAAAGTACTATTTGCCAGGCGACCTCAGGATACAAAAGGGACTGCAACTTACCAAGATAATACGATATGTGCATATACAATTTTCTTGTAAAAAGCAACAAAAAAAAGGCCACTCTGCACTTAGGGCTTTGGTATTTAACTTAATATATGGGAACCAAGTCTCCATTTTGAAACCTCTTTCAATGACTGCGGAATTTCTCACCATATTTAACCAATTCCTGTAAGAACTTTAATTTGCCAGATTGCCAATCCTGTGGGGGAAAAAATGCAGCATCATTCTGAACAACATGCAAAATAGCAACTATTATATTGAAGTTTTTTTTTTTCTCCATCACATGTGCCCCCCACCTCAGAAACGCTCATTTCCCTCAAACCTGCTTTTTTCAGGCACTACTGGGGATAGAGCAGTGAAGGGACAGACAACATCCCTATTCTCTGGAGCTTCTGTTCTAGGGGACGTGGGGAGAGCAGCAGATAATAAACATGCAATCAACAAAATGCTTTGAGGTAGCATCGAGCGTCATGAAGAAATTGATGGGGTGATGCGACAGTGGCAAGTGGGGGGTGACTTTTAAATTGGGTCGTCCGGGAAAGACTCACTCAGGAGGTGACATTTGAGTGAAATCTCTGATTCCGCCTGCTCTCCTCTCTGCACTGATTTAATTGCATCGTGCCTTCACTGCTTTACTCAAGAGGACATCTCTGCAGGAGTAGGGGACCGTGGCAGGATGATCGGAGCACCTGTCACGAGGGAGGCACCCGCCCTGGGAGATCCTGGGAGCTCTGGTCTCTGTCCCCTCCCTGATGCACCATCAGCGGCTGCCTCTGTCCTCCAAACTCGGTCATGGACACAGGAATGCATTCTAAACCAGCCAACAGACTTTCCACTCTGAGAAGCAGGTGTTTTACCCCAAATGAGGGTTCACAAAGAGAGAGAGGGAAGTATTGGAGAAAACAACTCTGATTGCTACTGTGGAGAGACATTTCAAGTGACTTGCCAGGAACAAAATGTGCTTGGCAGGTACAGTTAAATGAGATGCGATGGTGCTCAACGCTTTCATCCCTTGATTTCTAGCAACCAGGACCCCCCCCCCCCGCAAAAGCTTCAGCAGGGGTAAAATTATGGTCTGAAAATCATAGCCACTTCTCCCCCATGGATCTGTCCTACTGCCTTGTTCCATCAGCCCCTTCTCCAAGCCACCCTAAGCTGTCGAAAAAAGCACGTTGTTAATAGTTCAATTGTGTTCAGTTCTCTGTACGAGGCATCCCGCTAAACCCTTAACAAGCCCCGCCCCATCCTCACACCAAGCTTCTGACGTAGCTAATATTATTCCCTCCATTTTACAGATGAGAACACTGAGGCTCCGAGAGGCAAAGTAACTTACACAGACACACACCCAGGAAATAGCAGGATGGGCACAGGACTCGAACATCCAGTCCACCTGATTCTTTTTTTTTTTTTTAAGATTTTATTTATTTATTTGTCAGAGAGAGAGAGAGCTTGTGAGCAGGGGGAGCGGCAGAGGGAGAAGGAGAAGCAGACTCCCCGCAGAGCAGGGAGCCTGATATGGGGCTCGATCCCAGGACCCCGGGATCATGGCCTGAGCCGAAGGCAGACGCATTACCGACTGAGCCACCCAGGCGCCCCGGGGTCCACCTGATTGTTAAACCCACTGTTCACCACCAACATACACTACTTTCCTGGTTCTCCTGCTCAGAGAGACTTGCCTGAAGTCACACAAACAGTGCATCAGGGACATCAATTAAGTAAACTAAGCTGCCGAAATGAACAACCCGAAAATCTCAGCAGCTTAACACAACCCAAGTTCATTTCCTGCTCACCCTACCGGTCATCAACATGGCGCTGTGCTCATTACAGTCATTCGAGGACCCAGGCTGATAGGAGCTCTGTCTCAACGCAAGCTTCCACCATCAACAGCACAGAGAAGGGAACCTGCCTTGAGGGCTGGCCCTTTAAGCTGCCACCCTCAATGCCCCACGTCATTTTTACTCATGCATTTTAGTTTTTTTTCTTAAGATTTTATTTATTTATTTGACAGAGAGAGAGACACAGCGAGAGAGGGAGCACAAGTAGGGGGGAGCGGGAGAGGGAGAAGCAGGCTTCCCGCGGAGCAGGGAGCACGATGCGGGCCTCGATCCCAGGACCCCGGGATCACAACCCGAGACGAAGGCAGACGCTTAACGACTGAGCCACCCCAGGCACCCCATCAGTCATGCATTTTTAAACAAAGCAACTCACAGGGCTACCCCTGACAGAAAAGGAGCCCAAAAGACCCAGGACTACTCAGTAAACAGCACTAATGACTATCCCACCAAGCCCTGGGGAGGAGTGTCCCCTTGCCGTGTCCATCTCGGACAAGGTGCACTCAGCCCCCTGTGAACAAAGAAACTCAGGTGGTTCCTTTCTTTTCCTACCCCTATCTGAGCTTCCTTTTTGGTTTATTTGCTCCCGAGAATGAAACATCACAGAGACCGATTCTGTCTAACCAGGCCCTTTCTTTATCAGTGGCTTTGCATGAGCAAGGGCGCAGGGCGTTTTTAAGATCTCGGGGAGCCTTGCTGTATTTTTAGCTCATTTACCTGCTGCCTCAAGTCCGCAATGGATTTCGGGTCATCTAGGAAGTCAGTGTTAACAGAAAACCTCTATCTTCCCGATCAGGCTTGAATATTTAAGACTTTGAAAGCTTGGCTGGGGCCCGATTTAATTTTAAAAGGGGAAGGGGGTTGCTTTTGAACTTCAAGAAGGAGGCTAGAGGCACAGCAGGAGCTGTGTGAGCAAAGGGAAGAAGCCGAAAAGCCCTGTGGTCTTGAAAGAAATGCTCCAAAGCAGAACCACTAAAGCTTCCAGTTGGTGAGCCTTAAATCAGACTTCAAAAGCGCCGCTAGTTTAAATATTGTTTATGGGACTGGTGTATTGCTGTTCCTTCCTCTGGCTGGATTTTAAATATTCCCTAATTTGATTACTCAGGGGAGAAGCAGGCAGAACCAATGTTAAATGAGCTTCACTGTTAATTATTCAGAGAGCTTTTTATTGTGTAATCAAACATAAAGTCTTACAAAAAGCTTGGAGGCACATTCTCACCCCGCCCTCCCCAGCCCGACTTGCACCTTGGCCCCTGTGTGCGGCTGCTCATGTTGTGTGTGGGCTGGTAGATGCTCAGCAAAGTCCTGCCATCCAAGAGTGCACACCCGTTCCACATCTGGGCTGGCCAAAGCCTCTGATTCTGCTACCTAGAGCCCTGAGCCATGAGAAGCCAGTCTTAGGCAAGTTTGAGCTTGATCACCTTTTACCTCCTATATCTGAGCATCTCCCACCCCCTCACCAGCACTCAGCAGCCCCTGATAAGTCTAGACCCCTGTCAATGCCTCCTGTCAATGCCTCCCCTCATGAGTCTGGTCTGGCCATCTCATTCCCTCAAGCCCCTGCTCTGTGCTAAGTGACAGCCAGCCAAATGATTTTAAGGATCCCAGCCATCCAAAATCTTTTCTGCAGAGAAAAAGGAGAAAAAGAAAGGGATAGATGGATGGACGGATCAATTGAAAGAGCACAACCTGAGTCTTCCCGCTTGCTTATCAACAGAGATCCACTGCCCTGTAGCCCCAAGTCCAAAATCCAAAGGGCTCTGAAAACTCAGTTTTTCCATAACTCATTTGGCAGCAAAACTTGACATGAACCAAACTGATCTGGTAGCATAATGTGACCTGAAGCTGTTTACAGTCCTTATCCCACCTAGTGTAAATATTCATATATATCAATGTGTTTGGTTACAGGATGCTGTCCCCTGACCCCACTGGAAGGATTATGTTAACATATGGTACACGCATCATATATCCTTCCCAAAATGCCAACAGGGCAACACATCTGGTCCCACGGGTTTCAGATGAGGGATTTCAGGCATGTCACCAACAAAACCTGCTGGAGGTTCAGTCTCATACCAAGAAAGTTCCTAAACCCATGAGGGGAGGATCCAGGAATTAGGGTATCTAAAGTTTAATTAAACTGGGGGAGATAGGTGCTTTAAGAAAAAGAATATAAAATTACAACAGAAAATTAGGTACAGGGCCCCAGAAGACCCCATTCAAGTGAGGGTCATTAGTTTCACTATAAATCTGTACCTGGATGAGTGATTTGAGCCCACCCCCCGCCCAGTTTGTTTTCTCATCTGTAAAATGGGATGACAATATCACAAGGTTTTATTGAAATGATTCAGTGAGAATGCACGAAATCATCTTGCATGTAGCATTGTATATAGACTTTTGCTCCATATACTCCAAACCAGTGATTTTCATTGTGCAACCTGCCCCACAGGCTCTCCCCTGGACCCCACCCCCCCAAAGTAATCCTCTTTCTGTGTTACTCGGGAGCGTCCCTCATGGTGGGATTGGTAGGAACCAGAGCAGGCAGAGATTCAGAAATGAACATGCCTTTCAGCTTACTCCCGGGAGTAACTGCCCTGGAGTCTAAGAGAGGACCCAAGACTAAAAGGCAGATAGATGCAGAACGCACACAAATACACTCCGCCTGCCTCCCCCCCTACCTTGTAAGCAGTGGTCTCTCCTAACCTCAATTTTCACTGACAAGACCTAGCTATGGAGAACTGTCCCGCTCACTTCTTCACGCACACAGGGGGTGAGGAAAAAACCATCACAAGAGAACAGCCGCCATCCATCTATTTATTGCATTTCCTAAAAGAACTTGCAGTAAACCGAGGCTCCGGGAACGGAAAACTCATTAAGCTGTTTCTCACTCAGGGACCCGGGTGGAAGCAAGAGCACAATAAAGAAAATCAATAAGGACAAGTCCATGGGACAGAGGTGGGAGCACTTCGTCACGGCGCCGAAGGTAACTATCAGCACCCGAAGCTGCAGTCTGGCTACTGGCCCCAACTTGGGCCGGAGGCGTTTCTGCTGGTCTTTTCTCCGATGGGAATTTTTTTTTCTAGTTGGTTCTCTGAGTGAGGAGAAGTCAGAACCGCATGCTGTTGGATGGTTTTTGTAAATTTTAATTAAAATGGTTATCTGGGGGATTATAGGAGAAATGACATTTGGCTGGACACCACTTCGTGGGGAAGGGGAGGGGTGGCTGAGGAGCTGCTCAATAAGATGTCACCAGAAGGAAACGGACTCACCTCCCTCCACGTTTTTAATCAATAACAGTCATTTCTCTCTCGAGCTCACTCTCTCTTTTTAACTCAGCCAGAAAATAAGAAGGGGGCGATTCAACAGATAGGGTTTTCTACAAACTAGAATGCGCACTCACCACTAAGAGAACATCGAGAGGTCTATTCTTTCCACTCGAAACTATTCCTAACCCCACACTTCCCAAATTCATCTACCCAACAAACAAGCACCATAAAATAATAATGATAAGAGGTCATGTGTAGATAGGCAAAGGTAGTTGAAAGGGCAGTTTATTGTACCTGTGCTTTTTTTTTTTT